CTACACTTTGTTCTCCTTCCGGAATGTTCGGTCATCGAAGACAGACCATGTCTTGATTTATGCTGTCGAGCGAAAGCGCCGTCCGTGTATTAAGGATAATAATGGCTGATAGTGAGACTTATAATGCTCTGCATGCTCTAATGCTCCCATGGAGCTCTTGTCTGTGTGACTCTCCGACAGCTGCACGGTGCAGAGCTCCTGGAGAACATTAGAGCGTGAAAGTGCACTGCCGGACACTGCACTTTTCAAGCCGTCTTGCAGCCCCGCCGCCACGTCTTTTTGTGCAGATGAGAAATAGTATGTACTTGATGGAGGCGAAAGCATTATGCCATGGCTGTTGTGCAGCCCTCACGTAAGTTAATGGTATGCAGCACACAAACCACTATGTACTTCCACCTCCCCTCGGACTAACCACTATTTCGCATCTGCACAAAAAAAGATAAAGGCGGCGCTTCGAGAGGCCCCTTTGAAAGTGCTGCGTTCGTCTACGACGCTCTGTATTCTCTCATATTTCTTGGTGCTGTTCTCTCTCTGCATTTCCAATATCTACGCACCTGACTGCTCACGATCCCGTTTCGGATCGATGTCTCATCACAAATGGAAATGTGCAAATCGGCCGCCATTCCTTTTCTGCGAGCTCTGTCACAAGTTTCTGTTGCTGACGACTGCCATCCTATTTCTTAGCGAAATATCTACCCTTGCGTTTTCCACGAGTGATACAACTCAGTATGTGGAGCTTTCTCTGAGTGACAGGATGTAAGGATAGAGAGAAAGCTAAAAATCTGAACTTCGATATGTACGGAATGCTTGTCCTTGAAACAAGGTCGTTCGTGGTAGTCTTTAATGATTTACTCAAATGTTGCACCGGGTCATGATCGTGCAATTAAGCTTGGGAATTCCAACGACCATTACCGTGGATTGTATACGGATATACGCGGCATTTGTGGATTTCAATAACTGGCGCTGGCTGCAAGCGCACAGAGGGCAATTGCAGCACCTTTTTGTCGTCGGCAGATCAAAGGACGGAAGTTTGCTTATTCATTTTCGGGTTTTTGACATCACTGAAAAGGCAGCCAAGTGTTCACGCTTCGTAAACTGGCAATATTGCAATAGACCAGCAGTGAAACCTCACGCGGAGAGCATTTCACGCTTCTTTGAAGTGGAGCGCCCAAGTCGCACAGATGCATCTTTCCAGACTATCTTTCTTTTGCTTCAGTTCAACACCAACGATGATATTCCAGAACCCATCCTTTCCTCCGAGAAATGCAGTTTTGTTGAAACAACAGAATCTGGAAATCTATCTAGAAAGGGGTTGTCAGTTGCGGATCAATTGCGGATGGCTCTCAACCAGGATTAAAAGTTTCGTAGTTTTTGCTCTCACAAATTTTTTTAGCCAAACGCTCCCTCTGGGAAGACTTTCCACTCTGCTTCCTGGTTTGCAAGCGCTTCACGTTCTTCTCCTTAACACTCAGGATGAGCGCATCTCAGAAGTCGTTTGCCCACATTAGACATGCTTCTTACAACGACTCAGCCAGCTACGCCGGAACAATCCACTATGGACTCAGCTTCATGTATGTGCCAGGTGAAGAATATCTCCCTGAAAGTAACGCAGAGTCGGTGCTTCAGATGGAAACAGGCTGAATTGTTGGACAATGTTACTGCGACCACGTTCGCTCTCTGAATCCCGGAGTTGTCGCAGTAAATGAAAAGCTGGAAGTGGAAAACCAACTTCTCTCAACGCTAGACGAGATGAGGAAGGACAACTGAAAGGCCTCTGAAGCAATGCAATTGAAAACCGAGGACGTAGAAAGAAGGTGTTGCTTGATGTAATTCGTCTGGTTGCGCCGGCTGCATTGGGGCGGTTGCCCCGGAGCCGGGCCGAGCTGTGCGCGGTAAGAGCGCGACTTGACCGGGCCGTTCTGTGGATGGATCGTGGGATCTGCGTGAGGGGGGGGCGCGTTGGGGGTCGGGCGCGGGGGGGCGTGGCGTGTTCGGGTATGTGCGAAAGCAAAACAAAGTCAGACAGATTTGAGGCTACGCCTTCGCCACCGTCGTTGACGCGGAGAAAGCTAACAGTGAAACAGATAACGGAATTAGCTAGTTTGCCGTGGCTTCTTATTACAGAGATCCTGCGAGACTTCAGGCAGACTTCTTCCGCTGCTGGCTATGCAGTAGGGACACAGGCGTTAAAACTGCAATCTGAACCGTCCACGCTAAACGTGCATCATCTACTGAGCAAAGCGGCGCAAGCTTTCATAAAAATCTATATGGTGACACATGATGAGGAGGTAAGATGTGTCGACTGACCTCAGTTCTCTGGCGCGGCCGTGAATCGCAGAAGAGTGGCACAAGTGCTCTAACTGCTAGAGTGAAACACCACCTCCAGACGAGGGCCACAAACCTAACGAGATGGACTCCAGGAATTCTTCGCAAGGTATTCGCTCTGATCCGGCCACGTGGAAGCAATCGTCACAGCTGCATTAGCTGCATATATTATACAATTGCCAAAGAAGGAACGGCTCTTCCAAAAACAATTACCTCTGCTGCTGATGTCTTTGCGAGCAGGAGCAGCACCCGCTTTCGCCCACTACAGCCCAACCAGTTCGAGAGATGGTGGCAACATTCGCACTGCACATGAAGTACGACATGCTCAAGTACGTGGTCAATTCAGACCTTCCGTTTTCTTTGCTTGTTGACAGGACATCAATGGGCGAAGAAAATGGATTGTCTCCGTAGTCAGAACGGTTTCTCTTCGCAACCGCCCTATCACATTCCATTTGACTCTGGTAACTCTACAGTATGAAAAGGCTGATGTCATCGTTAATGCCTTGAACCGAACATCCGAAGGCTCTTGCTCACTGGAGAAGAGATTTGAAGAAGACGCCTTATGGGTTCGCTATGAGACGAGTGATAGCACTTTCATCTGATGGAGTCTCAGTGATTGGAGAGATGGAGAGAGGGGAAGCACTCTGGGGCTCACAGAAAGATGAGAGACCTTAAAAAGCACGAGGCGAAGGAAGACTTGAAAAGAGAAGATTTCCTCCTCGCGGTATGTGCTGCACACAAGCCAAGTTTAGTAGTAATGCAATGGACCAGAAGGGGCTCGCTTTCAACAAACAAATGCTCTTTTGGAAGAACTGCATAATTTGTAGGGCTCTACGGTTGCAACAAGAGCTCGGGTCAAAACAGCTGAGGACATGGGCTCTCCCGTCCTACGAATGTACGCACTACATTCAGTTAGGTGGGCAGCAAAATTGCAAAATTCCGTTTCCAAGATTCTCCGTATGTACCCGGTGCTCACTTGAAACCTTGGAGAAGACTGAGGCAAAGACAGCAGTGCTTCTACAGAAACCGAAAAGACCGAGTCCAAAGGAGCAGCATTTGCTTTGAAAGACGGTCACACCTTCATCATACTGCACCATGTGAATGCAACTCTCTCCTATTTCGCGAGGCTCTCGGAAGCTCTCCAAAATGAAGAAGCATTGATGGTTGACTACCTTTCCCACTGGAGGCATTCGATTTTCTGCTCAGCTAAGAGACCTTAAAAAATCAAGTGTATGATTATCTCGCTGACAGTGGGCTACTCGCTTCATACGACACCCAAAACGGTCAATATCACGGAGTGAATTCCGCGTTCTTGAAGACCTACTATACGCTTCCCGATGACCGTGCTTTGTCTCAAAAGAAGTTACTTGCCTATGCCCCCTACTATTTCGCTGACTACAACAGATTAGCCGTACAGCATCTCCCGGCTGAACGAAGAGAAAAAACAGCATCGTTGCGAGGGGGACACAAACTTTAGCCTCTCAAAAATGCACAATCGTTGACCTCCCAAGTTTCGGAAGGTGGTTCTACACTCGAAAGAGGGAACCTTTTCAATGACGAGATTTTTAGTGAAGTGCACCTTCAGATTGTAGCAGCAAGACAAATAAAGGATTGCGTCAACACCTTGTACGAAGATGTGCGAAAAAGTTTCCGACACTATATGGAGCCCGAAAAGCGTCCCACAGAAGCAACCGTTTCGTTCCCTTACGCATTGGATAGACATATCATCCTCGACATCATTGAATGCAATGGTGATTACGAATCTTTCAAGGAGTGCATTCTGCCCGACACCTCTGTAGGCAACTTGTGGATATCCTGTGTAGACGTACGAGGGCAATGTGGACAAAACTGAATGACATGAGTTCATAATGCAATGCATTACTTTTCGCGTGTCTGGCGCCGAGCGGTCGGGTCGCGAGCAGCTCTGTCACATAATCGGCCTCCATAACTTGTCTATCCGACTTTTCTGTATTTCCGACTGATATGCTTGGCGTCTGCTCTGCATGTTTTCTGCCTGAACCCTTGTGGCGGGGTCACTTAGTGCTGTTTCCTATTCAAAGCCACCGCTACAGGTCGTTTCAACGGTTTTTGTCGATCGATCTTCCGGTACACCACCATTCAATTCCTATCGATTGTTCTCAGCGTTTGATCTCAGTGGCAGAGATCTACATTCGCAGCTATAAGTTATCTAAATCTTGGACGCTACAACAAGTATCCATCTGATCTAACATCTTTCGAAGATTGCCACGTACAAGATGGTGCAATTGGGAGAATTTCCAAACGTTGAATTATTCTTTCTTTCTGATATTAACTCCTCCGCTCTTCGCTGTCGATTCAGGGTGTTAAGAGGACCCGGACCGAGTCTCCGGGGACGAACGGGAGCGCCCTTTCTGATGCTGTGAACCTCCTTGTCACTGACGACAAACTACTGCCGGCGCACCTGAAAACAATTCTTGGTCACCTTTTGGAAAAAGTATCTTTTGTCGATCAACTGGTGGAACGAAACAGGGAATTGGAGGAGCGCCTCAGCGCTGAGGTTGCCGAAAAAAACGAGACTTTTGAAGGAAGTGGAGTTTTTGAAACAATCTCTTGCCAACAGTAGGGTGAATTCTCCTGCTACTAAATCTTTTGCTCGTTCTGATTTGCGTTCACCTTTTCATTGTTGTGAGGAGAGAGAGAGGCTAAGATCCGTTGTTGTTATTGGAATTGAGGAGTCTAAGGACCCTTCTTCACTCAAACCGTATTGCTCATGATGCGGAATGTATTCGTAAATTGTTTGACTTCCTTTCTATCGATTGCACTCCAATAACGTCTTATAGAATGGGTAAGCCAAATGAAAAGTCCCCCCGGCTCATCAAAGTTGTTCTTCCAAGTAGGTACTTTAGGCGTGTGCTCCTCGAAAGAGCCCCAAGACTGAAAACTTATCAGACTGGGGGAGTTTATATACGTCCTTCGCTCCCCAAGGCTGAGAGGGATCGTCTCAGGGCTCTTCGCGAGGAGAAGAAAAGGCTTGCTACTATCACGTCATCTGATGAAGTTGATGCCCAATGATATGACTGTTACGTCGCCCATTGAATGTTTCCCCTGCCAATGATATGACTGTTACGTCGCCCATGAATGTTTCCCCTCTGAATGCTGTTGATGTTCATGATGGAATTGTCTCGTCACCCCAAAATCCTCATCCTCAGAATCCTCTCGCTATTTCGGAAAACAACTAGTTGTTCCGCGGATTGGGATTTCTTGCCTTGTTACTAACATACGGTCCCTTCAAAAAAATTCCAATTCGTTGGCGTACTCTGTGTCGAGGTTTGAGTTTGGTATTGTTGCTATTTGTGAGACTTGGCTGAAGTCTAAGGTTACAGTGCAGTCTCTCTTAGGGGAGCTTTGTTCTTTTTACAATTTATTCAGATGCGACAGAAAAAGGAAAAAAGGTGGTGGGGTTCTTCTCTTTGGTTAAGCAGGTCTTTTTGTCCTACCCTCGTTTTCAGCGAAAGTGTGGCTGACGGTTATGAGATCGTTGCAGCCGATTTTTTCACTTTAGATATTTCTTATCGCTTGATTGTAGTCTACAGAGCCCCTAAATGCAGCTCTGTTCTGACTGAACAATTGAGCAAATGTATAAGTGATCTATCTATTTGTCAGTCCTCCTGTCTTTTGATGGGTGACTTTAATTTCTCAGACATTGAATGGTCTAGTAATCCCTGTGCTAAAACCGCTTTATCGCGCTCCTTCTTGAACATGCTCTTAACTCACAACTATGTTCAGTATGTTGATTTTTGTACCAGGAAAAAAAATGTGCTCGATTTAGTTCTTTGCAATAATAAAGATGCTATAAGTGACATTGCCATCGGTGCTCCTCTGGGCAGCAGCGATCATGCAACAATCACTTTTAGCTTCAAGGCTCTATCCAATGATACTAAGTTTGTATTCCGAAGAGACTACAGGAACACCAACTATGATGATGTTGTTTCTTATCTTCGGAATATTGATTGGTTAGGATCTTTTGGCTGCTGCAAAGACACCAATGAGATGTATGAGTTGTTCATATTTGTTCTAAATCATTGCATTCAACTGTTTGTGCCGGTTAGGAAAGTCTCGCTATCCATCAAAAATTTACCTGCGCACCTCTATACTCTTTTCGTAAACAAAACCATAGCTTATAAAAAAGCCATGAGAAGTAATAACGAGCAGGATTGGAAGGGGTATCAAGAAATGTCTACAAAGTTTGAGAAGAGACTCTTCAAATACAATTGTGCAGTAGAAAAAAAAATAGTTGAGTCATGCAACAAATCCTATCTTCTTAACTATATTCGAGCAAGAATCCGTTCGGAGAGAAAAATATGTACACTTGTCAAAAGTGATGGTTCTCTTGCAATCACTGATGTTGATAAGGCTGAAACTTTTGCGGACGAATTTCAAAAAGTATACATCAGTCACAGTAGTGCATGTCCTGTAACTAGCCTGCCGAGATCTTTTGATTGTATGAGGGAATCTGTGCTTTTTGTAAGTGATGACATTTTGAATTGTCTCCTTAAGTGGCCTTCAAGTGTTTCCTTTACGCCAGATGGTATCCCTCTTTCGTTCATTAAAAATGTTGCACCTTACATTGTTCGTCCTTTAGAATTTCTATTTAATCGAAGCTTGCTTTATGCTGAAATTCCTATGAGATGGAAACATGCCTTAGTGTTGCCTTTTCCCAAAAAGAAGGCATTGAATAACCCCGGAAATTACAGGCCGATAAGTATAACCTCGGTCTTCTGCAGACTATTCGAAAAAACTCTGAAAACGGCCATTGTTAACCATCTTGAAAATGGTAGTATTTTGCCTGATTGTCAACACGGATTTCGAAAAGGACGATCTACAGTCTCACAAATGTTATTGTCCCTTAGTGATTGGATTGCTGCCATTGATAAAAAATTGTGCGTGGACATCATCTACTTTGATTTCTCCAAAGCGTTTGATAAGGTGTGTCATGCCAAGTTAGTAGCCAAACTACTTTGATTTCTCCAAAGCGTTTGATAAGGTGTGTCATGCCA